TGAATGTCGGATAGGCACTTAAAGACATCCTTTGGCTCAAGTCACCGTCACACCAATTGTTAAGGGTACCGTCTTAACAATTAGAGACATTGCAACTCAAGTACCAAAAGTTCTATAAGTACAAAACTTCTTATGCTCATGGTTTTCGCATTCATTTTCAAAAAAAAATTGAAACTTCATTATGATGTTTACGGACTAAGTCTCTTATACCAATTAAATTGTCACGCCCCGGACCTACCCGGACACATCAACAACCCGCCGTACAATATGAATAGTCAATCGCAGTCCAACTCATCCATACTATACAAGGCGTCTTTGAATACCATTCACACATAGTACATTCATAAACAAACATAATGTAAAAGATTCATTTAAAGCAGCGGAAACATTTTAATACAAATGTTTATGCCAAACTTTGGCAAACATGGGCATACAAGCCCCAATTAATTATCCAAAAATAGTATCCATGAGCCATATCATAATTATTTTGAAAATAGAATAGAGGAAGCACGAACCACGTCTTCTCTCTTGAAACTCCCCTAAGCAACGACGATGGTAGCAAGCTTCAACTTCTACCTGAAACTGTGAGGTGGCCTCCCCCGTGAAGAGGAGGCCAGTACTTGAGAGCATTTGACAAGTACAATGAAAACTATACCGAGTATAATCAACGTTTTAATTTCTAAGACCCTCAAAATAGGGTGATATAAACGATAATTTATATTTCCCACTTATTATCTCTATAATAAGTAAATTCATTTACTTGTCGGCGCATGGCCCTTCTTATATATTCCTTTTAATTATCATTTGTACAAGTGTACAACCCAACCCGTGGGTCTTATTATTTCTACGGGATTTGCTACCGCTGTACGAGACCTCATAAGGCCCTCGGTTCAGATTTCAACATCCTGCCCCTGGACTCATACCCTTCATCCCGTAGGAAGGTAAGGCCCTTCGGGGTCCTATCTTATGTGTTACCGTTGTCGGAGCCTAGTTAGGTCTCCGTTCGGATTCCACCCTAACCCGTGATCACGATGCAAGTCCATGTTATCCAACCCCGCTCTCTAGAGTCGGGAAGGGCCATGGTCCTTACTTATTCCCATAATTCAATTGGCTATCCTCAGAGACTACCGAACATGCCCGTAGGCCAATCTTATACCTAGGATCAATTTATTATTCGATTTATCTTGGGTATCCCTTAAGGCTTAAGGCCTACCCCTAGTATAATATAACTTAAAGTTCATACTTTCCTACCTTAAAGCATCTCTTAAGACTACTTAAGGCATAACACTTCACAATCCAACCTTGGGATCAATTTTAGCAAGATTTCACTTTAAGGTCCAACTAGTATATCAATACTAATCCAATTAATTCCAACAAAACCAAGTTCTTCATTCGTGGTCATTTATAAAATGCCCCTCCATTGGAAATATCATCTTTATATCAATATACAAAATATCACTTTTAATCATTCATATATTCTTATATGAAATAAAAAGTATATTTCAATATGCATTTCATAGTTAATTCCATTATCAAGTCAACATACTCATAACACATGATCATACACAATTTATTCTTAAATTTGTATATCATGCTCCTTTCTTATGGACATTATTCTTCTCATTCTTAGGCATTATTAATCATTAATAATCCATAAAAATACATTTAATTACCTTACGTAATCTCATGAAATTAACTCACTAATTATAAGCAACATAGTCAGCCATCCTCGCCTTATGATGTGTTCAAATAGCTGCCTTTGCGAAACCCCTCGATCAGTCCTCATTCTAGGCCGTTCGAAAGTGAAAAACTGGACCGCTGGGCAAAATCCGGGCGTCTTTCAAAAAAGCCGGGCGGCTTTCGGGCTGCTGCAATACGGGTAGCTTCCTTTTTGGTGGCAGTTTCCGGCGGTTTCGACTCCTATCAATTCACCAACTCTTCTAAGTTAAACACCACCACTTTATATCAATATTCTACACTTTCAATCGTGTAGAACTTCATGTTTAATCCACCATATGATTTCTTAAAAATCATACAAGAATAATACTAGTTAATGCATACTAGTTGGATTCTTACCTCAACTTAGCTCTTTTCTCTTAGGTTTCTTCTTCCTTGTGCTTCTTCAAGCTATGAGTTCTTGAGAGAAGACTTCTCTAGAGCCTCTCCTCTTGGTTGGACGAAAATGAGTGCAAAGGGATAGAGGGGAGGTATTGTATCTCAATCAAACACCAAGTTGAGGTGTTGATAGGGCCATAGGGAGTGTGATTGTGTCTCCAATCACTCTCTCCTCTATAAGTCCGAATTTGCCACTTCATTTCGTCTCCATCCCATTATTTGGGGACCATAATTCATGTAGGAAAAATCCCCAAGTGGGTGTAGGAAGTTCCTCCCCGTTATTCCCGCTATTTCTGGCAGGTTGGGTCAAAACAGTACTTGTTTGTCCAAACGTTTTTTCTCAATTTTAGTTGACATTTTATTGGGCTTCTATAATTATTACGATGACCCGACTAAATATTCGGTAGCCCATTCTCAATATAATGGACCCGGTAAATAATTTAATTAATCATTTATTAATTAAATATACCATTCTTTTACACGAAATTATTCGCTAGGAAAATTCAAATACATACTGAATTTTAAATTCAAGTACATCCAGGTGCGGTTCACACCCAGTGAGTCTCTATACACCCTTCAGGTTCCTGGGGGTCTCAATGTCCATGATCGTCTTCACCTTCTCGGGATTCGGCTCAATTCCTCGCTCGCTCATCATATAACCGAGGGATTTCTCGCCCTTGACGGTAAAGGCACATTTCTTCGAGTTCAACCGCATATTGGCCCTCTGCATGATGTCAAACCTTCTCCATATCCTGGATGTGATCCTCCTTCTTGCTTTTGATCAGGATATCATCCACGTAGGCCTCCATGATTATGTTGAGCACCTTTTTGAACAATATCCCGATCATCCTCTGAAATGTAGTCATCGCGTTTTGTAGACCGAACAACATGACGACGTAACAATACACGCCGTCCGATGCGACGAATGCGGTTTTCTCAGCATCATTTGGGTGCATGATGATGTAATGTTTTTGGTTTTGTATCATACACTTTTTTGTAATGTTTTTTTTTTGTATTATAAACTTTTTTGTAATATTAATCTAAATAAAATAAGGTACATTTCATATTCATATACTATTTTTATTTCTGTAATATTTTTTTATATTATAGACTTTTTTGTAATATAAATTTTCATATTAATACACTTTGTCATATAATATATTTCTTATCTCTTTTATATGTTTTTGGTGTTTTTAAGACATTAAATTTGTTTATTTCGATTTACATTTGATAAAATATGAGATTACATTTTCATATTTGTGGTTTACATTTCCACATGTGTGAGTTGTGTTTATAGACAATTTCTGAAATTACATTTGATAGTATATGAAGTTACATCTTCTTGTACGTGAGTTACATCTTTTTGTGTGTGGGTTACATCTTCATATATATATGCGAGTTACATTTGGACTTGCGTCAACAAATTACATTTTGCATTACACCTAAGTTGGAATTTCCATCAACGCGAGTTACATTTTCCATAACACGAGTTACACCACAAAATAACTAGATGCTATTGAAACAAAAAAAAAGTCATTTTTTTGCAAAAAAAGAATTTTTTAAGGCAATTTTTGTTTAGGCAAAATATGACTTCTTTAAAGCATTTTTATGACTTTAATATTAAAAACAAAATATATTTGCTACTTACGTAAATTAATTGAGCAATTAGACTCCTTGTTTTTATTGTTTACATTTGATAGTATATGAAGTTACATCTTCTTATGCGCGAGTTACATTTTTTTATGCATGAGTTACATCTTCTTATGTGCGCGTTACAATTGGACTTGCCTCAGAAAGTTACATTTTGCAGAGCCGATTTTCAACATGTTCAACATGTTCTCCGGAATAGAGCCCACCATTTTTGGGGGCCCAATTTTTTCAATATTAGTATTATAAATATAAATAATAATAATAGTAATAATTATAATAATAATAATAATATATAGTAATAATAATAGTAATAGTATTAATAATAGTAACAATAATAATAACAATAATAATAATAATAATAATAATAATAATAATAACAATAATAATAATAATAACAATAATAATAACAATAATAATAATAATAATAATAATATAAATAAATAAAATAAATGAATATACTAATCGACAACAAATCTAGGATTTATTCGCTAATAAAAAAGAGACGTGGAGCTGAGCGGTCGATTCCACGTTTCTAGCGTCTTTTCGCTAATCAACATATTCGATCACAATTCCGCATATGGCTAATAGCTATTTCAATTTTCAAATAATCGAATTCAATTTTCGTGGGACTGGAAACCGGTTCATCCTCTGCGGCTAGTAGCTCTCGAGTCCCGAATTTGCCTCTCGTGCTCTCCAGGCTCTTATCTTTGCTGCTTTGTTCTTACTTTTGACCTTCTTTTCACTTTTGTTATTGACATTGTTAATTTGCTAATTGTTATTCTGTATTCATTAATTTCAGAAATAAAAAATTCAGCTTTTGTTATTTTTAGTTTTGTTGGAATTTGTGAGGTTTTATTAATTGTGATTTTAATTCTTATGTGGGCCCCATTTTAGTATTTAGAACAGGGTCTCTAAATTTATTAGACGACTCTGATTTTGCACACATAAGTTAGATTTTCCACCAGCACGATTTACATTTTCATAACACAAGCTACATCACAAATACATGGTCACTGTGGGCTACTCTCACCCTATAACAAAATAATGGGCCGCACACGTACACATGATTTCAAAAAGAGATAGTTTACCAAGCCAATTAATAAAATAATTGTTTGAAAAACGTGACCCAAAATAGTGTTAAATATGCATGTTCCACTATGTGGTGCTCAATAATTCTTCCATCTATAAATAGATACTCCAGAACCCGAATGAGAACAATTCCTAATCAAGAAGACAAGGAATTGGTTTATTTTTAAAAAATGAGACCAGTCTCCCAAGCTCTTTCCTTCTTCTTCCTCTGTATAATCTGCACTTATTTTTGCAAGAAAGCCATTAAAACGTTCCCCAGTTCAACCTTCCTAAACTACGTCTTTCTCATTGCTACTCAGCTAAAATGGGCCTGGGATTTTCTTCTCCTTCAATCTTTCTGCCAAGCTCGACCATCTTACAAATTTGAGGCGGCTGCGGCGGCGGGAGTGTCGCTGGAGGTCGGAGTAAGGCAGTTCGACGGTGGGCCAGAGGGTGGCGGTGGCGTGGAATGCGCTGTTTGTCTCTGCAAGATAGAGCAAGGGGAAGATGTTAGAGACTTGAGGTGTGAGCATGTCTTTCACAGGGTGTGTTTGGATAGGTGGTTAGGCACGGGCCGTATGACATGCCCATTGTGCCGCAACCACGTTAAGCCGCCCCGGACGACGCTGTCGGAGCTCCACGAAGATGTTATCGTATTCGATGTTTTCGGCAGTAGACGTCGGGATCGCTACACATGGTGGTTGAGATGATCCGACCAAATTGATATATATAGGTAGGTCATGTTCCAATAAACAGAAGCCTTTAGCTCAGAAATGAGTATGAATTTCAAGCGTTAGATTCGACTATGTTGTAGTAAAAAAACATATTGCACTAATATATGCAACCTAGCAGGCTACCATGGTAGAATTTTCATATATATTAGTGCAAGATGAAGGTGGTTTGATGCAACATCATCAAATATTAGTATAACATTAAACAGTTTTAGTGCAATATTGCAAAATTTAAATCTTATTGTAACATGAATTCAAGTAATTTTTAGTGCAATATCGTAAATCTAACTATTGATATTCATTCACATTTCTCACATTAGAAACATTTCTCACTTGAACCAAAGAATATATACAGAGTATAAGCTAGCAAACAACTTAGACGATTCGTATTAGAGAAAATTAACTCCATATTACTGAAAGACATGTGTTTTCTTGCTATATGATTACATATGTTCCCTAAAAAGATGCATGTTATCATCCACGCTCGTATTTCTTAGGCACTTTCAAGTGCATGTAAAGTATTTCATTATCAATGAAATCACAGAACAAAAATTAAGTGTATAGCCATAAACTTCGTATATATTAGGAAAACATATACAATGTGTTTTAGGATGTTTTATTTAAAACTTTAATCTGTTGGTCTGGTTTGATCTGGCCTGGTATGCTCTGAACTGGTCTAGTCTGATCTGGTAAATGTTTGGTCTCTATGTATTTTATACCAGACCAGACCAGACTTAAACAGACCATACCACACTTAAACAGACAAGACCAGATCAGACTTCTGTAGTTATAAAATACAAAAAGACCGGACATTTACCACACCAGACTAGACTAGATCAGACTTAAACAGACGAGATCAGACCAGCAAATTATAGTTCAAGTAAAAACGTCTTTAACTTTGTAGGAGATCCGTTATTAATTATATAAAAAATAGGCCTTATATGAAAATTTGTCTTAGAAGAATATGAGAGGCTTAGGAGTTAAGAGTTAAGACAGTTTTATATTTAGTTTTTTTCTCTCGTCTCATTTAATAATCAATATAAGCTTAGTATTTGGGGTTTTGCAGATTTATTAATGGGCTTCAAAGCATTTGTCCCTTTTATCCTACATATATATCTCATTTATCACTAATCAATTGGATGATTCTATCATAATTTCTTGAAAGACAAAAAACAACAAACGGTGGCTTCGTTATATTGTGATTTGAAATGGCTTCATGGACCTTGGGTGTTCTTCATACCTCGACTACGACGGTAAACTGTGACAGTGTGGTGACTATTTTTATTACGGTTACTCAATTTTCCTTTAATGAAAGAAACAGATAGAGGCTCACTATGTTGCATAGAAACTCGAAAATCAAAAAAATACGGGAAACAAGAAACGTCAACTTTTACTCAGAAAACGCTTATTTGGAGAGTTTCCAAATAGTTTACGTAGAATTTCCGAAACAGATAGGTACTCTTTCCCGAGAGTTTCTATACTACTGGTTGATATGTACGTCAAACATACCCCTAAAAATCTCTTCGATCTTTTCAACTTATTTTATAGCTAGCCTTCCCAATGGACACTAGCTTAGAGGCTATTAATAGATTTATTTATTTTTTATTTTTTTGGGGAAATGTAAATATATATAGATAGTAGCCAATGTTTATGTACATCATGTGAGCAAAATTAGAGACATATCCAAGTATGGATATCCTATAACATCATAAGTTGTCTAAGCTCAAAATCTAACGTCTATCATCTAGCAAAAATAGCCATCAATCTCATGACAAAAAAGGCTAGTGTTTAGTTCAAAATGGGATCATATGATACGGATATATAGAGTAGAGCACTTTATACACCATGTACTTGATATGTGGGAGCATGTCTTCCATCTTAAGTGTGGCTCCATCAAAACGAATTGCATTCCTGGTTCTCCATATCCAATAGATTGTGTAGCTAAAAGCTATCCTCGTAGCCTTTGCCCTAATGTTTTCTCCATTGCATTCTCTTTGGATCCATTTCACCGCACTCCTTAGTGTTGACATTTGCCTCGAGATGCCAAGCCACTCCTTCACACTTTTCCAAACCTGACCTGTGCAAACACATTCAAAAAATAGGTGTGGTACCGTCTCCGGACCACCCTTACAAAAGGGAAAAATATTAACAATATCAAGGTAAACCATGTTGTCATAAGTAGGTAGTCTATTCCGGTAGGCTAACCACATTATGAACGAAAATTTGGGAGGTATATAGGCCCTTCAAATGAAGGACATCCACGCATGAGCATTCCCTTTAATCCTAAGGAGGTCATAAATCTTGGAAGAAGAGAGTTTGCCATTGTAAACCATCTTTCCAAGTTGGGTTATGGTCTCGGTTACAGAGTGGTATTTTGAGACAATAGAGTCTCGGATCAGTGCATTTCTTTTCATCAGTTGTGAGTCTCTATTGCGTGGAACAAACGTCCACACATCTCTCCCATAGAGATAGACTCCATTCACCCATCTCACCTAAAGAGTGTCCTGTTTAGCATGAATATTCCATAATGTGCGAGCTAATAATGCATTATTCCAAACCTTTGTATCCCTAATCCCTAGCCCCCTTCATCTTTTGGTAAGCAAACATCCTCCCAAGCTACCTTAGCATGTTCCCCCCCCCCCCCCCCCCCCCCCAAAGAAGATTCTACAGAGACTAACAATTCTATCCAAAATTGTTTTGGGCACCGGAAAAATACCCAATCAAAAGGATTGCACACCTTGAATAACCGACTTAATCAACTCAACTTTCCTCGCGTAAGACAAAGACTTAGTATTCCATGCTTTAAAATAGTCTGTCACCGTGTCAATCAACGGAGAGAATTGGGCAACCGAGATCTTTAAAGGAGTCAATGGAATACCAAGATATCTTACCAGAAAGGATCCTTGTTGAAAGTCAACCATTTGTAGAATGAAAGGTAGTTTTTGTCCTATGTTTCCCCCCACAAAAATATTAGATTTATCTTGATTAACCAATAGACCCGAAACCTTCCCAAAATCATTTAATGCATCAACCAAAATTTTAATGGATTTGGGTTCCCCCTTAGAAAAGAGCATCAAATCATCGGCATAGGCCAAATGTGATATCTTAAGCTTGGAACATAACGGATGGTGGTTAAAGTTTGGATTTGAAGTCCTAATAGCTAACATCCGAGACATGTATTCCAAACACAAAACAAACAACATAGGGGACATGGGGTCACCTTGTCTCAAACCTCTCTTTCCTTCAAACGTTTAATAGATTTAAACGTTAAGTAATGTTTTCTTACGACTGAATTGGAAACAAGACTTAATCATTCTTTCAAAAAAATGACTTCATTAAACTGGAGAATATCATTCCTTGCATTAAGATGTCATCTATTAAGACATTTTTTCTGTCAATTTTTTCAAATTGATTGTGGAATAGATTTATATAAATAAATGAAGTTTTTCATTAACATTATAATCTAAAAATAATACCAAATAAACAGTCTCATATACAAATATCACTTGATGCATAGCCCAGAAATTAAAGACATCTTAACTCAAACAGACGTCTTAATTCAGATAGGGTTTAATAGGAAAAAAGTAAACAACCCTAAATCGATCTATTATGGATAACCGATGGACAAAAAAATGTCAGAATGCCCTAATATAGAGAGCCTGTTCCTTTTTTTTGAGAGTAGAGAGCCGGTTCTAGAGCACAGATGAAGGGTTCTGGGTTCGTCTCTTGGAAGAAATATTAAAGAGTTATAAGGTTTTCTAATTCTAGTGTTTTTCACACTGGGAGATTATTTAACACACTAATATTCTAATACTTTACTAGAATTCTTGATAACTATGGTATATGTGGTATTAAAATTGATATAAATGAACATTTTTACAAGTTTTAGAGATGAACAATTAATACATACATCTAATTAAAATCAATACATAGTATGTGAATACATACTATTTTAAAGTTATTTAAAAAAAATCACCGACCAAGTAAAAGTTATTTAAATGGTACATTTTACAGACATTTTTGTTGACACGTCAAAACATGTCATAATAACTACTCCCTCCCTCCAATTTGATGGACATAGTACATATTCATTTGGTATTTTGGTCAACACAAATCACACTCAAATTTGATTCAGGTTTTTTCGACTTTGTAATTTTTTAATATAGTTTTGAATATGTAAATTTTATTTGCTACAAATAATTTAAGTGCGGACAAGAATTCGTTTGTCTTATCATCAATCAAGTCTCGTAAACCGCAACAGGAACATCAAATTGGGATGGGGAGTAACATATATTGAAAATATACGTTCAAAAGTCACTGAGTGCCAATTTTGAACACAAATGACTATTGAAGCTAAATTTATTGTACTCAGACTCGTGAAGTACGGAGTAATATATAAGTGGAGCTGGTCAACTGGTCAAGTATGAGATCCCAAGTTTGAACTTTGAACGCACGTACATTAGAATTTACTGCTTATTTGTGACTTCCTGACGGTCTCTAAGATCTTTTATTTGATCTGTTTTAGAACTCATGTCTTTCTTTATTTAATCTAAAATTTTCTAATATATAAATCTTAATTTGATACGGATTAAGATGATAAATCCAAATGAAATACTAATTTATTTATAGGAGTAGAAGATTAACAGAATGAATGTCTATCACTATTTCCGTCCTCCTAAGATTGAGACAAGGGGATGTGGTACGGTTTTTTAGAAAAAATATATATGTGTAATGGATATTGAATTATTAAAGTGTGAATAAAATAAGAATTAGTTGTAAACACACAAATATTATCAAATATGGTATGAGACAAAATTAATTGGACAGATGAAACAGATAAAACAAGTCGGGAGGACGGAGGAGTATGACATAACGCAACCATATTATGATCCATCACCATATTGTACACACAGCGTCCCTGCTTCCAATCCAAAAGTTTAGTATCACTACTTGGTGACAACTTCGTTACCCATATAAAAAATGGGGTACCCTACCTATCATTCACTTGATTGGTCTACATCATTATATCATTTTTAATTTAGATTTAAATAATTCAACTGCAACATTCTCATTGGTCCATGTGGACAAAGGTACGGTACCTTATGGATACCATAGAATCTACCTTAGTACTTATGATAAAACTAGTGCCCCCTAT